CGCCGGCTCAGCGCAGTGTCCTCGCTCCTGTGCCCGCAGGTGCCTCCTCCTGGACGGCGGCGGCGGCGGCGGCGCGGGGACCCGGCGGGCAGCGGAGCGATGGGACCCCTTCGAGAGACCAAGGTAAGTAAGGCACGTCGTGGGGGCGCGGGGGGCAGTGTCCGCGCGCTCCGCGGGGCCCCCGAGCGGGTCAGGTGAGAGCTGGAGGGGTGGCGTACAGAGTCGCAGGGAACGGGGACGAGGAGGTGGTGGGGACGATGGGAAGGCAGAGGACATTTGTTCAGGGGACGATGAGACCCAGGAGGTGGAGAGATGGTACCGGAGGAAAAGATTTGAGGGGGTGACACGAGGATTAAAAGATTGACTTTGGAGGGTTAATCCATCTCCTGAAAATGGGGATTTGGGATCTAGCTCTCAAATGATGCCCGGTTAGTGATGTGAATAAAAAGGATTTGGTGTACTGGTGACTGAGAAATAAGATCCCCAGCATGTCAGCGACCCAGCATTGGTTCAGGGTCTGCAGTGTGCCAGAGAGTGGCTGACGTGTGATACCTGCTGGGTGACTGATGTGCAGAGCAAATCCAGAGGCTTGGGTGCGGCTTTCGCCCTGGATGGGGTAGATGCCTCAGCGACCTCAGGAGTTCCCGCGGCTGAGGCTTTCCCTTCAATTCCTGCACTGTGCAGACCTCCCAGAGATGTTTACTTTGGCAGCGACCCTTCCTGGTAAGCCGGTGGAAATGGGCAGGAGGTCATGTTTCCAAATAGTGTTTGTTACTAATCCAAAGGCCTTTTTCGATTGCAGAGGTTGGAGGAAGCAGTCAGTTTTTTGCAAAGAGCTCCTCCTAGGAATCCATTTTAATAAGGCAGGGCGGTGGTGACCCCGAAAAACACTGGACTTAAAGCTTGTTCTGCTTTTAGATGATATGCCTTGTTGGCTAAGCATCTTTAGCTCTTTTAGCCTCAGTTTCCTCATCTGTAAATAGGGATTTAAATTAGTGTCCTCTCTATGGCCTGGGTTGTAAAGATCAAATGAGGTAATGGTTGGGAAAGTACTTGAAAAATTGGAACACCCTGCCAAAATATTACTTTTTTATGCATTTTTAAAACCAAGGCATGGTTCTGTATTTAATGCTGTGTTTTTAAGAAGAGAGAGAGAAAACTCTCTTCTCATGGGTGTTCTGCAAGGAAAACAAAAGCTAACCAGGATGTAAAAGGTGGAGCCATCTTACTGGGTATTGGATTTTTGTTTGCTTTTCTGTTGGCAACAAGCCTTGTGTACCAGGATATTAATGAATAATTAAGATCCTGGCCGGAAGAGGAGGGATTTGAAAGATAAGCCTGAATGATCCATCAAGAAAGAATTGTTCCAGGTATAGGGGGCTACTTTGTGAGGAGACAGGAAAGAACAAGTCAGGGAAAGCAAAATGGAAGTCTAGAGGAAATCAAGTAATAAGCTGGAGTGTGCTGTGAGTAATAAAGAGCCTTTGAGAGAAGCAAAAGCTTGAATGTGATAGAAGAAGCCAGAGAGGGAAGGTGAGTTAGGAATCGCATGGGAGGAGGGAATGGCTTTCCTGCTAATGAGTGGAGGTGTGTGCGTGTGCATGCACACACGTGTGTGTGTGCACACACATCCACTCCCAAGTGTGTGGTCTTCAGAAGATTTGAAGGATTAGCTCAGTGGCAGAGTTTTGGTGTTCACTGAAGCAACTGAGATAAGGAGTACTTTGTAAAGATACAGTATTCAGAAATGTGATTTCTTAGAAACTGAACCCAGAAGGAACAAACAGGAGTTAAGAGGGGGAAACAAGTTTCCTATTGTTTTCTTTTTAATGTCCGATTTTAAGAAGGAGCAGAGAGTGCAGCATCATGAGAAGGAGATTTCCAGAAGCCGAATTCCCCGTTTGATTCTTCGGCCCCATCTGCCCCAGCAACAGCACAAAGTGTCCCCAGCCTCTGAGTCTCCCTTCTCTGAGGAAGAGAGCAGAGAGTTCAACCCCAGCAGCTCTGGGCGCTCAGCGAGGACCATTAGCAGCAACAGCTTCTGCTCAGGTATAGTACCCATGGGAGCCACACACGATCACCAAGTTTGTGCTCTGCTGGTGCACTGTGAATGGACCGGAGCATGCCCCTTAGAGCCTAGATCTGCACTTCTGTTATTAGGATGAATTGTCTGAGGTTGCACCTTTTTGGCTGTTTTGACCTTCACATATAGCAGTTTCATATGGTTCAGTCCTGATGGAAATTCATACCTATTTTTACATATTATTCTGGTTTATAATTTACCATGTGAAATCTAAGTTCTTTTCCTATGACCGTTTAAAAAACTATTCCTTTGTTCGCTCTGGGAAATGTATTTGCTTGCATTTTATACCAACAGCCTTTATAAACCTGTGTACTTCCAATTATGGAATCCCCAAAGATAAAACAACTTCTAATGAATGAGGTCAGGATCAAGGAGGTTTATATCCCAGGGCTGGGCCTGACCGTGTAGTGTTAGAGGAAAAGAGCACAGGCTTTGTCATGTGCCAGACCTGAGCTGGAAGCCCTGATCTTTTCACCATTTACAAGTTGAATTACCTTGGGCAGGTTGCTTAACCTCCTTGAGCCTCAGTTCTTATATCCATAAAATGGGATGATAACACCTACCTTGTAGAGTTGCTGTAAGATTGAATGAGACCTAAAGGTAATCCTAATGCAGTACCTGGTTAATAGAAGCACTTAATAAATGATGGTTCTTAATAAGATGAACTATGGATGTCAGTTTTGGCACATGATTAAGGAAGTTTCCTTAAAGTTGTGAGCTCATTTGGCAAAGGCATAAATCTCTTCATAGCTTCTGAAGATGCCACCATTATCACTTGACAGAGCCTGTTATAACCCATTAAAGCATGTGACTTGGAAAGACTTGTATTCTTTGAGAAGTATTTGGAAATTGGGTAAACTTTAAAAGAGTGACTGTCTTGTTAGTAATGAAGAGTGTTTCATAGTGGCTAATTTTTAGGGCTTACTCAGGGAAAATGTAATTTTCTATTAACACATGTATGAGAAGGAACATAGGAATCAAGATGCTATGATTAATGCCCCAATTTAGCAGGATTCAATATTATTTTTAGTATCAGTAACTATGTTTTTCAGTGTGCTTTTAAGTGCAGCTTTGGATTTCTTATATACTTTAACAAAATAATCCCCATCCCATGCATAAATTGTACATTAGAAATACTGTACTGACAATTTTTTATTTTTCTTTGTAAAGCCTCAGATGCTCTGCTTGATTCTGAAAAAAAAATTCTATCAAAATATTATATTTTAAAGCTTGTTTCTTACCATTTGGACTTTATGAATCTAATTTAAAGTGGAGACCCACTGATGGTTTTGCTCGGTACTTTTGCAAGAAGAGAACACAAAGATCCCTAGGACCTGGAAACGTGTTTACAGAAGGCAGTGCTGTTTGCTTTCACTCCATTTTGGAGCTCAGGAATCACTGTTTGAGTGTGAATGAACCCAGGGGATATCATTCCAAACTGGCACGCTTTGTTTACGTAACTCCATTCCACATTTATTCCCGATATTTTCTCCACATAATCGTTTTCTCTGTGACTGACTTCAAGGTGAGTAGTGTTAGCAAGGAAAAAAAAAAAAAAAAGGAAGTTGATCAAAACAAAAGAGAAACTCCAAATATATTTTAGAAAATATATTAGGCAAATCAATAAAATTATAAATTTTGGTCGTGAATCACTTTCTCCAAGACCCATTCCTGGGTGGTTTCTCCTTCCCAGGAGACCTGTCTCCCACTAAGGCCCTAATGCTGTACATGAAAATCGAAAGTAGATATTGATCCTTCTGCCATTAACTAGCTGAGAATTGAGTGGCAGAAGCTTCTAATTATGGGTGTCTATAAACCTGTCTTTCCATCGTTAGCCTTGCATGCAGTCTCCGAATAGGATTCCCCCTGTTCCTGGGCCTCATCTTTCTGTGTTGGTGCTCCCCAAGGTTTGGGTTGGTGCCTTTCCTTCAGTGCCTTCCTTTCCTATGGAGCCCCGATAGACCCCAAGACAGCTTTGAGTGCTGCGCTAAAATTGACAGGAGCCCCCTTTGGGGGCGTGTTAATGATGCTTTAGGAGGTCAGTCTGGGGATGGAAAATAAATGGGTTTGGTACTATGGGGAGCATTAAAGCTGCAGGCAGTGAGGTAGAGAATGTAAAACACGTCCAACCAGCAGGGGGAAATAGCTGGTTTTAATCCAGCCACTTTAACACTGAGGCCAGAATATGTGTTGGCTGCTTAATCATGGCAGTTAAGTCAGAGACCAAGGTACAGGCAAACGTTAAAAATGCCATCTTCTGTTAGGATTAAATTAAAATAATTTAGAGAGATCTGTTGCTGCCATAGCTTCATTGCCTTACGGTGATCATTCTGCATTAGCTTGTGTTCTTTATAAATCATCACACTGACTAATGTGAAAAAGGACAGGCAGAGCTAGGGGGATTCTTACCATCAGGTATGAAATTGTGGAGGAAAATGGTCCTCAAACACAAAGCGATTTAATTTGAAAATTACATTTTCAGAACTGCAAGCTAGAGACTCTTTTCCCCAAATTCATATCAAAGGCATTGATTGTGAAGAGCTTCATATGTTCTAAGATGCTCAGTTTTTAAAAAAAGGATGTGGTGAGTTTACATGAAGTTAAATTTACTTGATATAAAGAATTACCCTTTATTTTGAGAGTCTGACTTTTTATCCTTTATATATTGTATTATATTATTTTATTATTTTATAATTTTATATTATAACAGAATGTCATGATAGTGGATGGTGGTTAAACTTGAGCAGAATAAATGACAACTCTTTGTTGATGTGTTCCCCACGTCCACCATATGTTTTTCTTTTAATTTTACTGATCTGTGAAATTACAAGACTGGGAACCATGTCTTTGCAAAGTGGCCTGTCCATTTTTGCCTACTGTATTCCTTCCCCCACTCCCTGCCTTTCCCCTATCTTCCCACGGGAGCTTTGACAAGGAACATTTAATGACTTGATATTCTATATGCTAATTTGTGTGTTGTATCTATCTCATTTCAGAAAGAAGGAGTTGTGTGTGACCTTTTGCAATTCATTTGGGGTATAATCCCAAAGAGCGCTTCCTTTAATAGCTTCTTAGTAACAGAATTTCTTTGAAGATATGAATGTGTTTTGTGCACTCCAACATCATTCTTCTGATAAAACAGTCTATTCTTTACAGTTTGTATTTGGTCTTCGTCATTGTGACCTTAACTGGGCACAGTAAAGTTTATATGGTATTGGAAGCCAGGCCCTATTTGTGTGCATGGCAAACAAAACATTATATATTCCTAGTAAATATTAGCTAAAGTTTTTTTTTAAAGAATACATACAGAAGTATAGTTAATAGTAGGTTAATAGAAACAAAACACCTGCTTTCATGTCCACTCTCGCACTTTTAAAGTTTTTTTAACCAATGGTTTGGTATAACATCACCCCAACTTCCTCCCCCCCACCCTCTTTCCCCTTGTTTCTTGTTTTAACATGCCCACAAGAAGTGACAAAACTCATATTTGTGAGTTGTGTTCTGGGTGTGGCCCATTGAATCTAGGCCTCTGTCCATTTTTCTCCCCTTTCTTTGTTGGTAGTGAATTTTGTTTGTCATAATACCGTGACTCCAGACATTCTTAGAAAAGCCCATGACCTGGCTGAGTCAGTCAGTCACCTCCATCGGTCACCTGCCTTGGTTAGCAGCCTGCTGTGCATTTCCTCCTTGCTTAGTTGAGGTAATAATTACCCCTTACGGCTGGGAGGCAGATGGATTGCTGGGTTTTACTCTAGTTCTCCTTAGGGTGCCTTGTAAATATGGCAGGTGGAACAAATTATGTGTAGAGAACACGGGTTGTTTTATGGGAGACCAGTGATTTCTCGGAGTTATTTCCATGTTGCTAATGTGCACACACAGGTATATAGGCAGGTTTGTGACTTAACCCACTAAAACATGTACCAGGTGGGGCGCCTGGGTGACTCAGTTGGTTAAGCATCTGACTTCAGCTCTGGTCATGATTTTGCAGTTTGTGAGTTTGAGCCCCGCATCAGGCTCTGTGCGGGCAGCTCAGAGCCTAGAGCCTGGAGCCTGCTTGACATTCTGTGTCTGCCTCTCTCTCTGCTCCTTCCCTGCTCATGCTCTGTCTCTCTCTCTCTCAAAAATAAATAAACATTAAAAAAATTTAAAAACCTGTATCAGGTCAAGACACTAAATGGTCAAAATCCAGGATTCTTTGCAGTGGAATCCTGAGGAAGGTGTTTGTGGAAAGTATTCTGGTTTTTACAGTGACTGGGAAGAAATCCTTCTTTGAGTGCCAGTGACCTAGAGGTAATCATCGTTGCTATTTGTGGGAAGAACAATTAAGGCAAATTACAACCTGACTAGTGCCCTGCTGTGACATGACAATACCTCCAAAAATTTGCCAGGCCTTGCCAAACAAATATTTCTGCTTTGCTTCTGTCCAGTTGAGGAAGCTTGGCATCTGGATAGAGTAAATCTTTGAACATAATCATCAGAACTGAGATGAACATTTTAAAGTGAAGTGAGCTGCAATACTGAATTACACTCTAATTGAATGACTGCCAACCTGCTGTGAAGAAAAAAACAAAGACCCTAAGACTTTAGTATCATTTTAATGAGTACAGGACCCAGGCACAGTTGCATAATAGATATTTCAAGTGCTTAACTGCCTCAGCCACAGAAATAAGCACCTAATGATATGGGTCACAATATAGGCAATATTTCTTTGAGGATGTGGTGACTGCAATTAGGAGGGCAAGAGCAAAAATTTTTGCTATTTAATAAAATACCTACTGCGCAGTGGGGATGGTGAATAGTAACCATGATGGAATTGGATCAGGCCTGAGAGCAGATTATGGTACCATGAGAATCTTTTATGTTCTAAAATACTAAGGTTGTTCTAAAATGATCTGAATTGTTTCGCAATTCAGAGAATGGCATTTGTCTACTTTCTAATCCTCAGGAAAACTTTGTTTGAAATGCA